ATGGAAAAATACAAAACCCATGCAATGTGGAGGACGAAGCAAGAAACTGATTGATATTTAATATATTTAAATGGGAAGTTGTTATATAATTTGTAGTGTTTACAGCATAAAATAATGGAGGGGAGGATTATGACCAAACATATATCCATATTCAGTTTTAATCCTTATCTGAAGTCATATGAAAGCTTTGTTTGAGGATTTATGTCTTCACTCATATGTTGCATATGCAAAATAAAGGCGCTTTAACGATATATCAACACAGCAATTTTTAACATGTATGCGCTTCAGTCGAGAGAAAATTGCGGTTTCATATGGATCTGGGTTCATATATATGACTCTGAATATATGAATTCTCTTTGAACTTTTGTTCTGTGGAAAAGTTTAAAAAAATCTGTGTAAAGATTCTTCAGAAGTTCTCCTTTAAGATTGACAAAAAATAGTTTTAAAAAATAATAATAAATGACTTATGGGTTCGGAACGACATGAGTGTGACTAAATGATGATATAATTTTCATTTTTAGGTGATTTCATATCTTTAAGGTTGATGAAAAACCTGAAAACAAGACAAGAGATTTTAGCATTGAGATATTAAGGGGCCAGAGTTGATGCAGACGTGACCCAAAAGTTATAAACACTGACAAACTGAGAGCGACAGAAAGCTGATGTCTCTCTCAGTCAACCCTGAAATCAGACAATAAATGTTTGTGTTGGCTGGCCTCTGTAATGGCCATGTTAAGCACGAACCCTCAATCCAGCATAAGGTCAATGCTCCTCAAAGAGGCACTTAGTGGCTGCGGCATGCTGGGATACTGTAGGTGTGCAGTGAATATTAACGACCGTGTCTGCCGGTCATGTGGAGTTCTGAGAATCGAGGTCAACAGGCTGAAGTTGTGTATGCCAACATCTGCAGATGAGTAGAAATCTGGTAACCTGCTGCAGATGAGTAATCGCAAACCATGTGACTGACAGGACAATGAAAGAAAACAATACAAAGGCCAATCACGTAGAACACTATAGCAACACCTTGGCAACCATCCTAAACAGTCTTGTATTATGATGGCATGTTTCTAGAAAAAGTAAAAAAGTTTCTAGTAAAAAAAAGTTTTAATAATAATAATAATGAGAATTGTATTTATTTATTTATTTTTAGTTTGATTTTATAAACAGTATACTTTGAAAACTTTTGAAAGGGAAAATCTCCCATTGACTTGCATTGTTAGAATGTTTATCAAATACAGTGCTGATGATGCCATTGTTATATTTGCATACGGAACTGTGATTGGCCTTCTGTTTTACATTCATTTGCATACTCTGATTGGTCTTTTCTTTCTTGAATCTATTTAGCAATTTAAAGGTGCAGTAGGAGATCTTGGAAAATGCTAACTTTAGCCTGATAGCACTGAAAGGGAACATCCCACCATCCCTCCAATCGTCAATAAATACATTTAGACCACTTAACTTAATGATTGCTATCGGGATGTGAAGAGACTTTCAACCAGCATAACAAAAACAATTTCTGAAGACAATCACCTATTGTACCTTTAACCTCTTTGGTTCTGGTTTATGTTTAGGATTTCTGACAGAATTAGGCCAAAGCCACTAGAAGGCAAGCCTGCAACCATTAGCCGAAAAAGCGTAACGGCTAAAGCTAACACTTCCGGTCTGGCAGTACGTGGGAAAGGAGACCAGAGGCTGTTTTGTTTGAATGGATGTCAATGGAGGAGAAGCTTCACTACGCTGAATAAACTGCTTTTTAGAGGAAACGGCTGATAATTTAATGAATCGACAGCCTATCTGCTAATCTTCAACATATTTTACACTAAATATACTTTTGGATAAAAAAAAAACATGCTGTTTTATAAGAGAAGTCACTGACTTTTTGCGACAGGTGGGATTCAGTTTACAGCACTTCTCATTCATTCCTATGGGATCCGTAAATCTGCGATTGGGTGTCGCACAATTCTGACTGAAGTTCAATGACGTCAAGGCTGTAATGTGATTGGTTATTAAGGGGCACGTGATCCAAGTTAGCAGTTACGCTTTCTCCAATAGTAAGTAATACAGACCCTCTCATCTCCCTATAGTAAGATAATCTCTGATTAGGCATACCTGAATTGCTAACAACACGCTAATCATGTTAGCAACATGTTAACAACATACTAATTGTGTTAGCAACATGATAACAACGCGTTAATCGTGCTAAGAAACATGCTAATCATGTTAACAATCTTTTAAAACATGCCATCAACATGCTAATCATGCTGTGTTAAACAGGTTAGCAACATGATAAAACATGCTAGTAATGTGTTAAATCATGTTAGCAACATGCTGATCATGCCAGCAACATGCTAAAACATGCTAGAAATTTGTAAGTCATGTTAGTAATGTGGTAAATACTGCTAGCAACATGTTAAAACCCGTTAAATCGTGCTAACAATGTGCTAAAACGTGTTAACAGCATGTTAGATATAAACCCTGCTGAAAAAAAACAATAGAAACCATCACATAATTTGTAATGGTTTTACTGGTTATAATGGGAATTTGATTGGTTTTAATGCAAACTGTAATGGACCCTGTTGGTCTCTACTGGTAACTGGTCACCTTCTATTGGTGGCTTGTTAAAACCAATAAATCCTAATGGAATGTGTCCCAAAACACACTACAGAAAACCATTTTTTAATGGATTTGATGGTTAATAGCTGATGGTTTGTAATGGTTGTAATAGTTTTTGTAGTGGAAACCAATAAGAATATTTGTGATGGTTTCTATTGATTTTAGTTTCAAACAAAGATTTGTTCATACTTTTATGATAAACACAAACAGTCACAGTACCATTTGCACTCTCAAAATATTTAAACAATTATAATTTTAACATATTTCTGGTTGAAATTACAAAAGTACATTTTAGTTAGCAGATGGAGTTGTTGAATAAAACAGGCAGCGGTTGCTCCGCAGTAAAGTCCATGACAGACTTTACATCAACAGTTGTGCAGATGTTCTCGCACAAGCTGAATGAAATGTGCAGCACGTCGACTCATTAATCATACAGTTCTTATACAGCTGCTCGTGTTCTCTGGTAAATGTAGCGCAGGGTCATTTTTCAACACTGAGTCTAAGTTTGTTTGTCAAGGTAGTGAGAGGACGAAACATATTACACTGTGAGAAATATGTGGCTGTGTGTACATTAATGAGGAAAAAAAATTTACTTAAATGATTTTAGCAAATGGCTGCAATATAACAAAGAGTGAAAAATTTAAGGGGGTCTGAATACTTTCCGTACCCACTGTATATATAAAATGTAATTACTAAATTACTAATTTCCAAAAATGCCATATTGTGATTTACATGTTTCTATAGAATTATATCATAATGTAAAATTGCACACTCCTTGGTCTCATAAATACACCTAACTTTTACTAAGTTTGTGACTAAAACAAACTAGTTCATTCTGAAAACCTCTTCAAGCATCAGAGTTTGACATCCCAGCAGACATTTCACGGTTTGCAATCAGTGTCCTTTACATGCAGCTAATGGTTGAACATTTAGCACTGATAGCGTGAGGGCAGATGAAGATGTTCGGAATAAGCAGGTGGATGACATATTCTCCTCAGGAGATCTGTGCTCTCTCATCACCAAAAAAAATCCATAGCAGATTATTAATGACTGACAGAGAGTGAGAACAACACTCCATACGGGGGTGAACTGTCAGGAACACTGAGTGAAAAAATCAAAAGACCATGCTGTTGCTATGTTGTTGCTATGCTCTTCTGTGTGTATTAGTGTGTTGCTATGCTGTGATGCATAGATGCATTTTGCAGTATTAAGGTTAACAATTAATCGATTAATTGATCGTTAATTTAAATAACGATCGATCATGGAAATAATCTAAAATTGACATCCCTAGTCACAAGTTCGTTACCAATAGAGTTCAATGGAACTAACTGTCACAGTCATCAGCTGGTGTGCCCTAGATGGCCACCAGAGGACACTCTTGTGTCTTTGTTGGAGTGTTTTACGGTGTTGTCATGCTGTTTCTATGTTGTTCGGAGTGTTTTTACGGTGTTGCTATGCTGTTGCTCTGCTGTTCGGAGTGTTTTTACGGTGTTGTTATGCTGTTGCTCTGCTGTTCGGAGTGTTTTTCGGTGTTGTTATGCTGTTGCTATGCTGTTCTGAGTGTTTTACGGTGTTATTATGCTGTTTCTATGCTGTTTGGAGTGTTTTTACGTTGTTGTTATGCTGTTGCTCTGCTGTTCAGAGTGTTTTTACGGTGTTGCTATGCTGTTGCTCTGCTGTTCTGAGTGTTTTTACGGTGTTGCTATGCTATTGCTCTGCTGTTCTGAGTGTTTTTACGGTGTTGTTATGCTGTTTCTATTTGGAGTGTTTTTACGGTGTTGTTATGCTGTTGCTCTGCTGTTCTGAGTATTTTTACGGTGTTGCTATGCTGTTGCTCTGCTGTTCTGAGTGTTTTTACGGTGTTGCTATGCTGTTGTTCTGCTGTTCGGAGTGTTTTTACGGTGTTTTTATGCTGTTTCTATGCTGTTCGGAGTGTTTTTACGGTGTTGTTATGCTGTTTCTATGCTGTTCGGAGTATTTTTACGGTGTTGTTATGCTGTTGCTCTGCTGTTCGGAGTGTTTTTATGGTGTTGTTATGCTGTTGTTCTGCTGTTCGGAGTGTTTTTACGGTGTTGCTATGCTGTTCGGAGTGTTTTTACGGTGTTGCTATGCTGTTGCTCTGCTGTTCTGAGTGTTTTTACGGTGTGGTTATGCTGTTGCTATGCTGTTCTCAGTTTTTGTAGTGCATTGCTATGCTGTTGCTTTGCTGTTTTGAGTGGTTTACTGCATTGCTATGCTATTTCAAGTGTTTTAGTGTGTTTCTATGCTGTTGCTATGCTGTTCTGAGTGGCTTTTAGTGTGTTGCTTTGTGGTTGCTATTCTGTTCTGAGTGGTTTCTAGTGGGTTGTTATACTGTTGCTATGCTGTTCTGAGTGTTTTTAGTATTGCTATGCTGTTCTGAGTGGGTTTAGTGTATTGCTATGTGGTTGCAATGCTGTTCTGAGTGTTTTTGTGGATTGCTATGTTGTTAAGTGTTTTAGTGTGTTCTATGCTGTTGCTATGCTGCTCTGAGTGGTTTTTAGTGTATTGCTATGCTGTTGCTATGCTGCTTTGAGTGGTTTTTAGTGTATTCCTATGCTGTTGCTTTGCTGTTCTGAGTGTTTTTAGTGCATTGCTATGCTGTTGCTATGCTGTTCTGAGTGTTTTTAGTGTTGCTATGCTGTTGCTAAGCTGTTCTAATTTTTTTTAGTTTCACGAGTTCGCACTTACATATAATAGGATTTAGCAAATAGTAAGCATATTTGGCAAGGAGGGCTCCGAGCCCGAACCCAGAGAACCCCCCCCCCCATCCCTAGTATGGGAGGAGAATAGTTGAAGAGTGAGGCGTTGGGGTGGAGGAGGGATGTCGGAAAACTGTCGTGGGACAGAGGTGAGTTGGCTGTGTATATGTATACATATATAAGTTTATATATATACTTAAAGGGGAGGTTCATTGCGATTTCACTTTTTTAACGTCAATTAGTGTGTAATGTTGCTGTTTGAGCATAAACAATATCTGCAAAGTTACGAAGCTGAAAGTTCAATGCAATCGAAGTGGTAGTGACTACAACAAGCTATGAGTAGTGTTAAACATGGACGCGCATGCAGTTGCCGTAACACTGGGCTAGCTAACCAATCAGAGCCCATCGCCTATTTCTGAGGGCGGGGCTTCATAAAAGCAGGAAATGATCAGCGCGTTTATCAGAGAATGGACAGAGCGTTGTGGAATAAAGGTAAATTATGTGAAAAATTATGCGTTTTTTTTTTTTAAACAAAGCATTAACACATGTTAGACTGCACCCCATAAACACAATCAAGCCTAGAAAAAAAACACTCAACCATCCCTTTAATTAGTTCCTACAACTTATTAATTTGTGGCCGCTGTCCATGTTTCATTAATTTGTTGCCTAGAAAACCCACGATTTAACTAAAATGAGGGAATGAATTAAGTCATAGGAACAAATTCTTAATTCATGGCCACGAAATCTTTAATTTCCCCCTGCATGTTTACCACAGTAAGAGATGCGAAAACAGTGATTCACGATTTCGCCTTGTAGATAATAAAGCGAGAAGAATAGTATGCGTATTTGGCGTGCTGTCCGGGGAGAGGGCTCCGAACTTGGCATTTGCCCGAACGCAGAGCGCTCTCCCCCCGCTGGGAATGGGTCGACAGTGAGGAGTCGGGGTGGTGGAGGGATGCTGAAAGACTAGAGAGAATGAAGGTAAGGCTGCTATGATTATTTATAGTGGTTCTCTTTTGTGGTGGTTGGATAGATGATGTAATTACGGATAGGGAATTGGCCGGGTTGATTATCTACGCGTGCTCCTCCCGAAATTTGTTAATAAAACATCACTTAAAAGCGAACGACAATAAACCTGCGAAATTAGAGGGAAATTAGATTATTTTTTCAAATGATCATAATCACATCTATTCATTTTACAGTCCTGCTTACTAGCCTTTTATTTAAACGATCGATCATGGAAATAATCTAAAATTGACATCCCTAGTCACAAGTTCGTTACCAATAGAGTTCAATGGAACTAACTGTCACAGTCATCAGCTGGTGTGCCCTAGATGGCCACCAGAGGACACTCTTGTGTCTTTGTTGGCGCACATGGCTTGTCGTGTGTTTGTTTGTGCCATGTCCTCTCCTGTCTAGTGTCTTGACCCCGCCCTTCTTGTTATCTATTATTGGTTCAGTTGCTCCACCTGTGTCTGCCTCATTACCCTCCTTGTTTGCTCCTTATTTATTCCCCTTGTGTTTTCTGTCCTGTGCTGGTTCATTGTCATTGATTGTTTCCCTGGCTGCTGTCAGTCTAGTCAAGTTATATCCTTCTGCTTATTTGCTCTGCTTTGTTCTGTTCTGGGTTTTTTTTCTTTTTTTCTTTACCCTACCACTGATCTTTTTTTTCTAAGCATGTTGGCTGTATTCTTGGCTTTGTTAGTCCAGTTTTGTGTTATTCTTTATTTTTGTTAATCAATATTTTTTAAAGGTGCAGTGTGTAAATTTTAGCGGCATCTAGCGGTGAGGTTGCGAATTGCAGCCAACAGCTCAGTCCCCCCGCTCACCCCTCCCTTTAGAGAAGCTACGGTGGCCGATACAGGACTAAGATGTCGTCGGTAAAGACAGCAGAGAGCAATGAGATTTCTTTACAAAGGTAAATTAAGGAATTATATTTACTTAATTATTTAATAAATCAATGTTATTGCGAATATTAATGTACTTGTTCATCATTGTGTCAGTGTTTTATTCGCAAGAACAACAAAGTGACGAAACGCGCTGTGTAGAGCAGTTTGTCCGTTTAGGGCTACTGTAGAAACATGGTGGCGACTTCCATGTAAGGGGACCCGCGGTGTATGTAGATATAAATTGCTCAATCTAAGGTAATAAAAACATAACGGTTCATTAAGTAAGGTCTTTATACACCTCTGAAAACATAGTTATGTATATTATATTGCATTTCTGTCAATAGATCGATGTAAATATTACACATTGCACCTTTAAGGTCCCCTGGCTGTGTTCTGTTTGCAAACCGTGAGACTAACAACCAAAGTTAGCTAACAATGCTTTTGGGAAACGCACCCCTGTTCTGAGTGTTTTTAGTGTTTCTATGCTGTTCTGAGTGTTTTTAGTGTGTTGCTGTGCAGTTTCTAGGGTGTTCTGAGTATATTACCCATTAAGACTGTAGATATGGCTCAGATCACTCCTACAGTATAAGTTTGTTGGATTTTTTTCAACCATTTACCCATTTTGTGACCTACGATCAATAGTAGTAGTGAGGCTTGACATCAGATAATAAACAATAATACTGATGTGATTGGGTAACCATGCAGAAATGCATTCTGGGTAAGTAATCTGCAGCCAATTAAATGAAACACTGCCTTTTTATTAGGAAAAAATATTAGGGGACCAGAACATGATAATAGCTAGAATTTTCATTCATTCATTCATTCATTCATATTTATGAAATATAATGACCTGACATTACCCTGTCATGGATGCGAAACTCATTGGAGAAATTGTCACCATTTCCACATGGAAAGGAACATAAAAGAGGAGCCATCACATGAGCAGGACATGCAAATGGATGAAAATATGCTCAACAGATGGAAAAAGGCAAAAACTTGTAAAACTAACTGGGAACTGATAGTGTCCCACGGAGCCATTCACTGCATCTGAACTTCAAAGAAGCATCTGGATCAGCCCAAACCTCCTCAGAGAGAAATGCCCCTACGGACTTAGAGAGATTTGACTTATTACACAGTTTCAGTGTCCAACGTCATATCGGTGTATTTAAAGGTGCAGTGTGTAAATTTTAGCGGCATCTAGCGGTGAGGTTGCGAATTGCAACCAACGGCTCAGTCCCCCGCTCACCCCTCCCTTTAGAGAAGCTACGGTGGCCGATACAGGACTAAGATGTCGTCGGTAAAGACAGCAGAGAGCAATGAGATTTCTTTACAAAGGTAAATTAAGGAATTATATTTACTTAATTATTTAATAAATCAATGTTATTGCGAATATTAATGTACTTGTTCATCATTGTGTCAGTGTTTTATTCGCAAGAACAACAAAGTGACGAAACGCGCTGTGTAGAGCAGTTTGTCCGTTTAGGGCTACTGTAGAAACATGGTGGCGACTTCCATGTAAGGGGACCCGCGGTGTATGTAGCTATAAATTGCTCAATCTAAGGTAATAAAAACATAACGGTTCATTAAGTAATGTCTTTATACACCTCTGAAAACATAGTTATGTATATTATATTGCATTTCTCTCAATAGATCGATGTAAATATTACACATTGCACCTTTAAGGTCCCCTGGCTGTGTTCTGTTTGCAAACCGTGAGACTAACAACCAAAGTTAGCTAACAATGCTTTTGGGAAACGCACCCCTGTTCTGAGTGTTTTTAGTGTTTCTATGCTGTTCTGAGTGTTTTTAGTGTGTTGCTGTGCAGTTTCTAGGGTGTTCTGAGTATATTACCCATTAAGACTGTAGATATGGCTCAGATCACTCCTACAGTATAAGTTTGTTGGATTTTTTTCAACCATTTACCCATTTTGTGACCTACGATCAATAGTAGTAGTGAGGCTTGACATCAGATAATAAACAATAATACTGATGTGATTGGGTAACCATGCAGAAATGCATTCTGGGTAAGTAATCTGCAGCCAATTAAATGAAACACTGCCTTTTTATTAGGAAAAAATATTAGGGGACCAGAACATGATAATAGCTAGAATTTTCATTCATTCATTCATTCATTCATATTTATGAAATATAATGACCTGACATTACCCTGTCATGGATGCGAAACTCATTGGAGAAATTGTCACCATTTCCACATGGAAAGGAACATAAAAGAGGAGCCATCACATGAGCAGGACATGCAAATGGATGAAAATATGCTCAACAGATGGAAAAAGGCAAAAACTTGTAAAACTAACTGGGAACTGATAGTGTCCCACGGAGCCATTCACTGCATCTGAACTTCAAAGAAGCATCTGGATCAGCCCAAACCTCCTCAGAGAGAAATGCCCCTACGGACTTAGAGAGATTTGACTTATTACACAGTTTCAGTGTCCAACGTCATATCGGTGTAAAAAAACAAAAAAATTGTTTACCAGGGAATGAATCTAGTTGTAATGATGATGCTGTGTTAATACAGTCTCACGAAGCCTGTCAGGTACATGTTCAACGTTGCATTTCAACCCAAAATTAAAATAATAAAAATAATGAATTATAATTTGCTTAAATAAAATCTAAAATATATGACAGTTAGTCATATTTTTCTCCCAAATTTTCATTATTTTAATGCAAAAAAAATAAAAATACAGAGGATTTCAGAAGACTATTCAGAAGCGTCATGCGAGAATATGCGAGCATATTTTTCTTTGATCTAAATTAATGCAATGATCAAAAATGTTTATTCCAGGCTGCATGTCGTGAGCCCCCAGAGCAGTTTTGGTTTCCACCCAAAATAGCAAATCTGAAGTGTGCATAATCTCAGAGAATATCAATGCTGCATTGAAGTAAGACATTTGTCTGGTTGATCAAGCAACGCCGCCAGCCTAGTTTAGCATCTCACGAGGCCCGCAGGGTTGATCCGCTCCAGACTGCCACTCAGAGAAAGGCTTCTGTGAGAGGAGCTTCTTTTTGGCCTCAGATAGTAAAATAAAACGGAAAATGTGTTTACATAAAAGTTCTTCCTGTCAATCACAATAATGAAACCTGAATCTCATTTTCTCTATTTATGAATTTTTACCATAATACTGTTTTTTGTTGTTTATTTTACATTGCTGGTTATAGACGGCATTAGATTTGATGTGAAAAACTTAAAACTAAATTTCCTTAAGGCACGTTTCTGGTCTAATTGCGTGCATTATTTAATCATTGCACGTTATTACGAAGTTTGTCTTCATAACATTTCATCAAATTGCAACAGCATGCTGCTTCTGAAACAACCTTCCTTTTCAGATGATGCCATGAGTTCCTCCCAGCTAACAGGAAGTGTTCTCAGAACTTTGACTAAAATTCTGTCAAGGTATGAACAAACATTCTTCCAGTTCAAGCTATCAGGTTTTTTTATTCAGTATTTCAATTTTCTGGAAAAACAAGTTTAGTTATAGCTGTTCTTTACAAGAAAATAAATAAATGGATTAATAAATAAAAATCCTAGCTAACAGGAAACATTCTCAAAACGTTCTGGCAAAGTTCTAAACAAAAACTTTCTTCAGTAACATTAATAGAAGGTTTTTTTTTTTTTTTTAGTTTATTTAAATAGCACAAAAAAAACAACAGTCATTGACCATTGTGCTGTACAAAAATTATAAAATCAAAATAATAAAACACCAATCAATACAATAAAACAGCACACAGTGACATGGTACATACAAAGGAAAAACACGCTCAGGATGACTCCAATATTTTAAGCCTTTTCTAAAAGATGAGTTTTAAGTTTTTCTTTAAATAGAGATTATTCTAATAGATAAAGGTAGGCTATTCCACAATTTGGGGCCAACTATGGCAAAAACCTGGTCTCCCTTTCTTTTAAAACTTGATCTGGGAGCCTTTAACAGTTTCTGATTCGATGACCTTAAACATCTAGCAGATATGTTAACAGTCACAAGTTCAGATAAATAAGAAGGTGCCAGACCATCTAAAACCTTAAAAACAGAGTAAAATATTAAACTCTATTCTAAAACATACCGGCAACCAACGCAGAGAGAGTAAGACGGGGGTGATGTGCTCAAATTTACATGTGCCATTAAGAAGTCTAGCAGCTGCATTTTGGACTATTTGCAAGCGGTTCATATAGGATTGACCAATACCTATATAGATTGAATTGCGGTAGTCTAGACGAGAAGAAATAAATGCATGTATTACTGCATTTGCAAACTGAGGTGATCGATTTTGGCCCCACTGACAACTATCAGGCAACCAGCTTAGATTTGGGTAGTTTATCTGTTTTTAGATCTTAAGTAAGGAACTTGGGCGTTCTGTTAGATGAATCGTTAACCCTTGACAAACGTATCTCCTCTGTAATAGGTTCTAGTTTTTATCAACTTCGTCTGCTGTCAAAAATCAAACCTTTTCTAAATCATAAAACCTTAGAGATGGCTGTTCACGCTTTTATTACCTCACGCTTGGACTACTGCAATTCACTATACTGCGGTAGTTCAAAGTCTTAAATTGCTCGCCTTCAGCTAGTGCAAAATGTGGCTGCCAGATTCCTTCATAATTGCCATAAAAGCGCTTACATTACTCCAATTCTGAGGACCCTCCATTGGCTGCCTATCATATTCAGAATCGATTTTAAAATTATTTTATTTGTGTATAAATCTACATGACCAAGCTGCCATTTATTTATCCGAATTGTTGCACCCATATACTCCTTCCAGAAGTTTAAGATCTAGCGATCAGAATCTTCTTTTAGTCCCACACTCCAGACTCAAAGGGGATCGAGCTTTTTCAGTGGTTGGGCTGCGGTTGTGGAATAACCTGCCTTTAGAGATTAGATTAGCCACTTCTCTGACTACTTTTAAGTCTCTCTTAAAAACATATCTGTTTTCCCTGGCTTATAAATAATCTTCTATTATGGTCTTTGCCTATTATTTTGTTTTCAAAATGTATATACTCTGTTCCCCTTGTCTTACTAATATATTTTAGTATATATATTCTTAGTCATTGTATTGTTGGTGCTTAATTGTCTTAATTGTGTTTAGCTGTGCTGATTTCTTCATTTTATTTGACTCTTTTTCTGAACCTCTGTACAGCACTTTGGTCAATCGTGTGGCTGTTTTTATGTGCTATATAAATAAACTGAACTTGAACTTGTATTACTCTCTCGAATTCAGCAAGGGTTAAAAAGCTTTTAACTTTGGCTAGTAGTCTCAACTGGGGAAAAAAAAACACGATTTGACAACTGCATTTACCTGCTTATCAAATAACAGGGCTCAAATAAAAGTTTTTAACAGATGGTTTTACATAAGCAGCTAAGCTGCCCAACACTTGATTTAAGCTGCAGAGATAGCTAATGGTCCAAACACAATTGCCTCAGTCTTACTCTCATTTAAGTTTAAGAAATTTTTGGACATCCAAACCTTAATGTCTGACAAACGCTTGTTCAAAGTTATCTGTTCTTTAATAATGTTCTTAC